AGTGGTTAAACGTGAAAGTAATTGTGTTTTGTTTCTGGGACTGACACGCGGAACCCCACGGACCCCATCTCCCTCCCAGTGACAGGCAGAGATCCTCCCCCCTCGCTCTGTCTAATTAGAGGATGTAGCCCAGGGCTCGTGTCCCAGGAAGACCCATCCCCCTCCCAAGATGGTTCCCCTAAGAAAGCCCTTAATTGGGTTCTTTAGTCATAGTCTTCATTTTGGCTGGAAAGGCATCTGTGTGTTGCTATCACCTCAGAATGCAGTTTGTATCGCTCTCTTGTGTTTTTTTCCCCCACATCCCCTTGCTGGCCTTCTCTCCATCTCTGCTCCTCTTTCCCTCTCCCCTTCTCCCACTCTCTCCTCACTTAATGAGGCCCCATAATAACACAGCAGTTGTGCAGTTGTTTTGCTACCTCAGTCAAACAGCGGGATCACTGCATCGTGTGTTTCTAGTACCATTCGCTTGTCTACTTAGACAAGGTAATGAGTATCATTTGGAGGTACAAAGCACCGGCCCACAAAAAAAAAAGAATGGTGCTCTGTCATCTCTGGTTATCTCAGAAGCGTTAGCTCGGCTCGCTTAGGCGTCTAATCAAAGCGTTCCAAATGTTATGGATTCATAAAATGTGGAACACGGTGGAACCCGTTGCTGTCGTCGTTCCCCTCCTTGCTTTGTGCTGCTACAGTACGACCACGACTCCCAGGGCACCTCACTTCAAACAAGACTGTCTGTTGCCAAGGAGACCGGGCTGATTGTGGTACAACAGTGTTTTGGGTCAGGCCTCCCCAACGGCCTGATAAGTGATGACTGTGGAGAATGCCAACTGCGGTATTATTTATTTATTTGATTGTGTTATTCATTGGCCACACCAGGCAGCAGTAAGCCTGGCCTGAGGTCAGAGAAGAAGGAAGGACCCTGAGCGGACTGGTCAGCAGCGGGGTAAGCATAGAGGGACCACGGGGTCAATACAGGTCCAAGTTTAACGTGCCATTAAAGATCAAAACGCCCAATTCTTCTAAAATTGCCCCAAAACATGCAGAAGCATTAATTATGACAGATCAATGCTTATTTTTCAGTCCCAGAATGATAAAGGGTTTATTCAAGAGTCATTTAGCAGCATTCTCTCACGCGTTAATTCAAATCTAGAGCGATGACGAAGGGTGTGTGCACAAGTCTCTGTGGTTGTGTGCTCTCCCCACCCTCCAGCGCCTGTAAGTTCACGTCAGGCATGCACGGCTTTTAATCAGAGCCTAAAGGGGGATGTTTACACTTTTGACTGATCTTCACATTTTTAATCAGAGATAAGCAAAAGGACGCGTTCGCTTTGAGTCTCAACGAAGCGTCTTGTAATGAAAAGTGTCTTAGATGAGGAATCTTTACCGTAAATAACGTTTCATTTATGCCACCGATTTCCCGCAGACGTAAATAAACGTGGAAATCAACTTAAAACTCAAAACATTTTCTGAATCAGCTGCACTCTTAATGCCTTTGTCATACTAAACTGGAATTATGGAGTCTAGGTTATAAAAGTTGTATTTGTATTCTCGGAAATATCCCTAAGATTACTTCAAGAGCAGATGCAGAGGAAATAACGATGGTGTGACAGCACACATTTAAAAATAGATCCTGTGAAACATTAAGGCTTCATAATGGGACACATTCTGGTCAATTGGCCGGTTGGTACTTCTCTTGTGTAAATTGCTTTATTTGCTCAGGAAACCTGGAAAAGGCCAAAGCTTAAAGAGTCATTATTTCTCAGGCAGGTCTACAACCACTCGATATGGCCTCGCTTTAATGTTACGTGCTGGATAGCACCAGGTGGAAGAGCAGAGGCACAACACCGAACTTGCTCAGAAGGTATCGCCATTATGCTAATCAATTTTGTTAGTGTCAAAGTTAAGCTGTACATCTTCTCTCTGTGATGTTGGACAATCTAAAGATCTTCTTTAATGCGGTGAGATTAGATGAAAGTGAAGCTGTGTCTGCGAGTCCGCTGGCCTCTCTCTGCAGAGCTGATGCAAGAGATGCACCTCTGTTGCCTCACCGGAGACCGGATGCTGTCGATGGAGACCGGAGCAATTGGGAACGACATAAAGAATGATTAGTTAATAAATCAGCTCTTTGGCTGACTTGCTCTTTCCAGGCTTCAGCTCCGTCTCAATCATTTTCTTACGTGTTTTTTTCTACCCTCCCATTCTCTGCAGCAGCATTAAATTCCTAAGACGTGTTGCACCTGTTTGCATGGGTACACTAGACCCCTGCCGGGCGTTCTCCCTCCTTTTTCCACTGCCCCCGAGGGCGTTGCAGTAGGGTGATGTAATCAGATGAAAGTGGTGGTTTAACAGTGGCACAGAGCCAGTGAGAGGAGAGAATTGGAGGACGGGGGTTTTCACTCTGAGCCAGTGCAGCCAGGCTTCATAAGGGAGTAGTGGGTGTGCACTATTGATCAGTGCAAAATTTAATTTAGTGTAGAATCGAGTGCTATGCTGTACCTGAACACTGCTGGTAACTGGGCCCTGCAGCAGGCCTGTGTGACCAGCAGGTGGTTGAAAGGATCGAGTAGGAGATTAAGGGTTGGATATAAGGGAGGGAAATGGATGATGAGGGGAATGGCGGCGTTTCAGGGGGAATAAAATTGGAGTTAGGATGAGAGCTAAAAGGCTTAATGGAGGGCATCTAATCCTAAATTGCAGTGATTCTATGGTGACACCATTAGCAGCCTCCTCCTTACTGGTGCTCTGGACATTTTGGTCGTTTTCCTGTGGAAGGCAAGGGTGAATTGGACGCTTTATATCTAATTTGTGCTATTTATGCATCAAACACTCACACAGAGGTAACTTGAAGAACTTGACACGGGTGAAGATAGGAAAGTGAATTTCCCCCGCTCTTCCTCCCTCCCTTTTGCCGTCTGTTCTCATACACAGAACAGTTTATAGCTGCTCTGCAGAGTTCAGTATCCACAGAGATAAAGGTATCAGTTTCATTTTCTTTTAACATTTTTTCTCTTACTCTCCCTTTTTCTTCCTCTATTTCCCTTTAGTCTGCATGGCTGCCACAGCCACTGAAGTCGTTTAACACCGTCCTTGAGAAAGCCCTCGGTGTAAAGACTCCTGGCATGTTTAAGGAAAAAGGTAGAATGCAGTGTGTGTCAGGCAGAGCTGGGACATTCAGAGGGGGGGAGTCGTTCCCCAGAGAGGTTATTTTCCCCTCTAATAGCTGTTACGAGCCCTACATTATATCCAAGGAGCTACATTCCTTTGGGGTCCAGACACACACATATACACACCTAGACGCACCGGCACACTCACACAAAGGCATGCACACTCAGTTGAGCACAAATTTTCTCTCTGTGTTTCTCTCTTTTATACACACACACACACACACACACATATACACACAGTTCTAGCCGCTTTGCTCTCCCCCCGTGTCAATATCCTGCCATTTGAAGTCACGTACTGCAGGGGCTTCTGGGAGTCGCTGAGGAGCCAGGCTGACGGGTAATGGGCCGCATTCATTAATAAGGTTGCCATGCTCCTGTCCCTCCTCTGCAACGCCAAAGATGTCTTCACCGAGGGTGGGAGGGTGGGTGGGGGGGGAGTGCGAGGAGGGATGAGGTGAGGAGAGAGAGTATCCTGTGGGGAGTCTCCTCCCAGACTCACTTAAAGGAGCTTTATTTCAGTAAGAGAGGAGAGAGGGAAACAGTGGAGCTGTCCGGAGCCTCGTCTTGTTAGAAAGAAGGAGGCCAAGGCGAGCCCCGCTAACCCACGCAGGGGTCACAATCCTGCCCCCCGTCAAATAGCTTATTACCCCACCTGTCGGGAAGTAATCGTCCCGGCTGAAAGGAAAGCTGTCGAGGTGTTTAAATGTTTTAGACGGAGGCAGCTGAAAGGGTAAAGAGGGGAGGAATGAATGTAAGAGGAGGTGGAGGGGGGCTAATGGGCATCGCTCAGAACTGCCAGAGGGACCAACAGGACTGAAGGTGACTGCTTTGGTAAACCTCACTGAGGTTGCAGAAATCATTTTAAACACTTCTTCCACACATGTAACCAACATCAACCCCTCGTACCTTTCATCCCTTATCCGTGTGTGTGTGTGTGTGTGTGTGTGTGTGTGTGTGTGTGTGTGTGTGTGTGTGTGTGTGTGTGTGTGTGTGTGTGTGTGTGTGTGTGTGTGTGTGTGTGTGTGTGTGTGTGTGTATTTGTGCATGCATGACGACTCTGTGACAGGTGTGCTAGTCCATGCCAGCTTGGAGAGTCCAAGGCCGTGTTTTAAACAGAGCACAGCAAGTGGGGCATGTAGTTTGCATTAAAGGGATTAGCAGTCACTTCAAAAGATGACCTGGATTCGGCCCACCAGGGACACCAGTTACACACCCCCTGGTCCAGCCTCCCTTTAAAGAACCTGGCGCAGCTGCCCCACTACAACCCGACACTCACCACTCCGTGTGTGTGCCCGTATAAAACAGAGTTACATTGTCACCTCGTTATCCCGTCACGGTGATTTGTGCGCCGTTATGGAGGATCAAATGATCAGGCATCTCAGGTGTTTCTCAGTATTTATATTTATTTACTATTTGCATTGTTTTATTTAGCACATTAAATAAATGCAAGCGCCAGGTAAACAGGTCTCCAAGGAGGATGTTCCATCAGGTGTGTTGTTATGGATTTGTTTCCATAGATACAGGCTTCAGCCTGGAGTTTGGATTTGGAAAGAGTGGGATGCTACCTGCCGGTCGTTGTGAATCTTTCTGTTAGACCAGGATTTAAATGTGCTCAACCCCAAAGCCAACCGCTATTGATCCACGATTTGACTCCTGAGCGAGTTAATTGAATCTGGATAATGAAAGCCTAATGATTGCCATGTTCAAATGTCAGCATTACCGAAAGACAGCACGTGTCAGTCAAAACCATTTAAACGAGTCGTGAGGATTGAGATGAAACGTTCATTTCGAATGTGTAATCATATATTTTGTTGTATCTTTTTTGTGTTTTTGCAGAACCACACTTTGACTCAGCACAGCAGCTAACGTGGTTAGAGCTCAGCGCCTCGGCCGAGAACGAGGATCACACAGAATAATGCCTGACCGCCAATTATTGTTGGCGCAGCTTTCCCAGACTGTCTTGTGCTGAACGTTTTGATTCAGCGACACTACGAGAAACCATTCTACACAAAGAAAAAAAAGAGTTAAAGAAAGACAGAGGAACAAACCTACACCAGCCCCGTTTGTTCTTTACCAACCATTATGTCAAACACAACTCGTTTGTACATAGACTTCTTTATGTGTTGCTTAACTACAGGTATATTGCAATCTTATACAGTATTTGCCAATGTACAGTTCAAAATGTTTGTCCAAATGAGAGTAAAGGGGAAAAAATATTGAATTTGTCAAACAAAAGGGGGTTTTAACCCGTTGTGTGAAGAAGAAACGGGGTGCCACTGAGAGTGTAGAAATCCGTGGGAGCTGGCGAGAGTTGTCAGAGGACTCTTTTTATCAGTGGCACTCCTGCTGCGAAGTAAGTCGCTCTGTATCCAGACGTGGTCAATCATTATGGTTCAGAGAAGCTTGATTCACCAGCATTGGCAGAAATCTTGCCTGTGTGTCTATCGTGCAGTGAGACGGCTGCCAGAGGACCGGCTGGGAACGATGGCGCAACAAATCTGCACTGCCTGTGCTGGAGTTTGTGTGAATGTTGTAAAATGTTATAAAAAAACATGTAAAGGAGAGGGGAAAAAAGTGGGATAGGGGACAGGATGCTGATATATGCAAATGCAGTGACACAGATTTGGAAAGGCTAGCTCCTCTGGTTGGCTCGTGAACACAGGCGTGACGCTCCCATGTGGCTCCTAGAGCACGGGGAACTCTCCGGCCCACAGATCCAACCTGTACATTTCTGTTATTAATGTTTACTGCTTGTTGAAGCCAGACGATTACTGGAATTTAATTTTTTATTTTTATTTCCTGCTCTGTTAGCTCTGTATTTTCTTTTTCCACAACGACGGGGCAGCAAACATGTGAATTTGGGGCACGAAGGCTGAACAGTCTTGTCTCGGGGATGCATCGTAGTTCCAAAACTCAGTCCCTGGCTCTCCTGGAGAGTGCCCATCATGTTGATCCTCTTTTCTTTTGCAGCAGCTGGAAGCCACTGTGGCACCATATATAGATAATAAAAAAATAAAAATAAAAACTCTATTCCATTCTGTTATGTATAAATGTTTTGCATTCATTGAACCTGAGATGCACTTTTGTATGAAACTTTTAATGTTTTGACATTTTGATTGAGAATTGTTCGTACACACCGTTTACAGGAAATCACCATCTCCTGCAGCAAAACGAAAGTTATCTCCAATCTTATTCAAATGTATTGTACAAATATAGAGTTCTTTACTTGGCAGACCTCGGTTTTTTGTGTTGCACATGTGATGGAAATATTAAAAACTGTATGAAGAAGTGGCTTGTGTGTGTGTGGATGTTAATGCGGTGAAAGAGAACACAATTAACTCATCAGGCTGGACTTAAAACAGCATAAACACGATTATCATAAAAATTTACAAGGCTTTTTTTTATTATTGTATCAGATTGCATTCTATTTTTCCTCGCTCCCTTGTGGCATTCGCTAACGAACATCTGAGCATCTTAAGGGAGGTCTTTGTTATTAATGACTCCATTACCCATCACCCTGTGCGGTCCCGTTCTACACACCCTTGCGCTAGGCCTATTTAGGGAGCTTCCAGCTCTCCGGGAGACCGGGAGAAAAGATTCTTCTGCCGTTCCCGAATGGGACATTAGCATCTATCTGTCTCTGCATGATTCATCAGCGGTGGCACACGAGCAGCCTAAAGTGTGATGAAGGTTCGGGGTGGGTTTTCAAATAGCTCTGCTTTACAGATCATTCTATAAAACTCTAAGAAATGAAATGTTAAATTTACACAATCAAGGTATGTTTCACTAAACCTAGTAGTTTAAATGTAAAGGGTAAAATGCATTTACTTGTAACATAAACAATGTATAACACTCTTTAAAGAGTAAGTCACCCCCTACCCAAAATCTCACTCCACACATATTACCTGTTTGAAACATGCGTTACCTGTTGAGCCAGGAGGGCGGCTCTACGGAGAAACTCACCGAGCCGAAAACCCATGCACACGCACACTCGCCTGCTAGCTTCAACGGAGCAATGGAGGAGTGGCCTAGCCCGAGAGTCGACTGCTTTTATTGCCCACAGCAGCAGTGCAGCTGGTACAGTGGTGTACCAGCAACGTCACAGTGCACTGTTTTAGCTGATTTGATTGGCCAAAATGTAGTGACCCCAAATGTAGTACAAAGTTTTATCCTGAAGAGGGCACCACCCTGGTGGTTTTAATCTGCATATTTGAATTTTAAATAAGATGCACTAAAATGACAAAGTAATGACTACACGTCTACTGCACTTGACACTCATTTATTCAGTTTATCAGCAAAAAAAAGTTTATTTGGGGGTGAATCTCTCCTTTAAGTGATGATGTGTATTTTATCTGGCAATAGGGGGCAGTACATATCTAAACATTACAAGCAAGCAGTATTTTTGGGTTTGAGTAAGACCTTACCAACGGATGGCCATTAGGGTCAAAAATCCCTGGGAGTGCAACCTCCAGCAAAATAACAAGCACATCAGACTCCCTTTCATCACAGGCAACGAGCAAAGAGGTAAATGTGTCTAATATGGCGTCTCCTAGACACTCAGACCCGCTCCCATGTACGTATTTTAGACCCAATTTTTGTGGTTATATGTTACAAAGCTGCCAATATGTTTCAACAACTGGGTATCATTTAATTTGTTTTCATTTCAACATTTCGATGGATGTTTCCAGGGATTAACAGTAAAAATGACACATTGTCACCTTAAGCAACTATAGTAGAACCAGATTACATTACTTTGTTAAATCAATTCAACTCTTCATTTCTTAGAGTGTTTAAAGACTGTACATCACTGCTTCATCTAATGGTGAGAAAACTGACAGTAAGATTATAATAATTATCATTATTATTATTATTATTATTATTATTGTTATTTTGTTATTATCCTTCCAATGGTTTTGGTTCAGTCTGGTTAAAACATGCATTAAAATATTAGCGATTCCCTTTGAATCAAAGCAGGACATCTCTCTTCACATGGTGACCCTGCTAAATAAATAAAAAAACAGAATTTCATAAAACCACACATCAAATAAATAGATTAAACAGAACCAACATATTAAAAAATAATCAGAAAACAGCATGTCAGACACAACTTTTATCGATGTGTTTGTTTATTCGGGCCTGTATCGATTTTTCAGATATCAACTTTTCTGTTTTTGTTTTTACTTTATTTTTATAAAACATTGTTTCCTTTTTTCCTACAAACTCATTTGTGTTATACTGTTGATTTTCAACACATTAATTGCACTTGGTTCATTACTGGTTTGTCTGTACCATCCCACAGAATCATCAGTTAAACAGTAATTCTGTTTTGTCGTCCTGCTCTGTCTCTTTTGTATTTTACCACACGCACCACGCTACTGGTCATAATTTGCTTTTTATTTCACTGATGAAGATCAAATGCATGTTGAGCAAGTCAAACAGTCATCTAATGAAGTTGCTTCCCCTCATCCCTTCCAGATTTGGTACATTCCTGCATTAACTGTCACACCAAATGCAAGCTGGGCATCCATTAAGCAACTTTGCTAGCATCTCCCCGTGCCAGGCACTTTTAATAAGCTTCAAGGGCATTCGAACAGATCCAGAACTTTGCTTTGCCAAAGATGGACTGGCCCACATCATCCATTACATTAAATTGGGTGGTGGCCTCCAGCTCATATTTATGATTTAATTAAATTCACTTGTGAGGCGTATCAGAACCACTGTGGCCTCGCTTTTAATGCCAGCCTAAGCAGCTAAACACACACACACACACACACACACTGATGCAGCTGCATACATCAGTGCGTGCACAAGTGCTGTGATTCTGACAGTCGCCCAAGTGTGAGACTTTGTGGGCGCTTTGGAGGAAGGTTCTCTGGGGTTCATTTAAAGCAATATAATTACACAGCTCCCAAGTATTCTTCCATCAGAAAGCAGCAGAATGGATGGCTCGTTCAGAGACAACTCAGCCCAGCTGATCCTGTGTGGTGCCGTCGCGGTGAACATAACCTTAATGGAAGCGCCACTTAATGTTGCTAAGAGCCCGGGCAGTCTTTAGTGAAACTGGGCAGCGGGGCCAGATGTTTGAGAGGAGCTGAAATGGCATTGTTTTTATCTGGGATGTGAGTGGAACGGCATTTTGTTTTTCCACCACCGCACATCTGCCGTCCTCTGGAGGAAAAAAAGAGCAGACTTATTAAAGAAATATGAGATCTGAAGCCGTGTAAGTGTGTTCCTGTCCGGGAAGGTAGAAATGTGGTATTTCATCCCGTCTGGACGACTTGCACAAATATACATTCAGCTCCTTGTCCCTTGTGCTTCGCCGTCCTTGCTATTGCTCTTTTTTGGTGCAAAATTTAGTTTGGTGCAAACTCCACATTGTTAGGCTGCACATTCCTGTCACTGAAGGAGACCTCAGAGATCTCTTATGGCATTCAATATGTGCGCCCAAGCGTGAGATCCAGCTCCATTTGGCTGGGAGATCCACTGGGACTGTCTGAGGTAACCTAATCTCTCACACCGGCACTTCACATCCGCAGAGCCATCTTTTCACTTCAGAACTATGTCAGCAAAATGGACACCTCAACCTCAGTACGTAGACCTGCCCAGATGTTATGGATGAACACTGCTGATCTATGGGTAATCCATGTGAGGGATTAGGGTTTGTGTCTTTAAATGTGAAACTGAAAACCACAAAAATGTAACAGCGCAGACATTCAAACGGCGCCTGTTACGACCATCGACATATATACATCACAGGAATTATTTCAGGAAGTTTCTTCTCTGTCTTCACTTGTGTTTTGTCCCCATGTATTCATAACTTCAGTTAATTTTTAGGTTTCCACAAAAATGTTTGCAAATAGAAGGAAAACTTTCCTGAGGTGTTTTCGTGAGCTTGTTTTAAAGCCGACACTATGTCTGATGTAAACAGGGATAAATTAGAGCTCACTTAGAAGAAAGGGCTACGGAAGCCCTGGGAGGTAGCAAAAAACATTTTTGTTGTGGAATTTTCTATGTTTTTTATTTCCTTTCCACTTCCTATCCAACAATCAGAAAAAATAATGTTTTTTCTTTTGTAAAAATTCTAGCACCTGGAATATTTGCTGCCATTTGACACGATCGTGGACAAAAGGATGAGGAGTACATTTAAGACTGTTCCGTCTCTGGAGGATCACCCTCTCCACCATGTTTTTAAGGATCTCAGGAGCTCTTTTAGTGGATGACTGTTAATGCCCCATTGCTCCACTGAACGTTTTAGAAACTCTTATTCCTGCTGAAGTGCGTATTTACAACGAGCCTTTTGTATGATCTTACATCGGATGTTTTTGTTGTGGTTTATAGCAGAGTCCAGTGATTGTGTTTTTTGTGTTCTGTCTTTTTTTTTTTTACATGTCAATGGCAACTCAATTTCCACCTTAGGGATTAATGAAGCCAACCTTAACCTTAACAAAGCTTACGTGTGTTTAAAATGGTTGCCACGCGCAACTTGTGGTGATTTGAGGCGTCGTTATTGCATGTCCCCCAAAATTTACGTGACATGTCCGAGCGCTGTAATATACAAGTAACCAGTAGGGGGAGCTGACATAATGAGCATGATACACTCACCATGGTGACCTCGTCTCTGGTTCTGGTCTTTGATACCATCTACGGTACCGCTGCAGTTATTTTTTCTGTTGTGAACTCAAAATTAATCAGTCACTGATCTCTTCTATTGACACCATGATTTTTTTTGGGGGGTGGGGGGGGGGGGGGGGGGGGGGGGGGGTTGTACACACACACACCTGGTGCTCTGTCTGGTCTGAGTAGTCCAGGGTGCCCACTAGTGGAACACTCCAGTACTACATGCAGTGCAGTCCTGTGAAGCAACATGTGAACAAGTACGGTGCTGTCTGCACCAATGCAAGGTTAAAAAGCAAGTACATCCCTCTCCTAAGAGTCTTTTTCTTTTTTTGTTCAAGCCCTCAATGGCTGATGTTGAATGTTAATTCTCCAGGAAATGTTCTAAATTTTTTGTTTTAGTTTGCTCAACCCGGAAAGTCTTTTTTTGTCTTGTAAAAACTTTAAAAACTTAAAAAATTCAAAAGTTTCCTGGAGTCATTTATCATTCATTCAATGCCTTCAATCTCGCTGAACTGCACGGGCAGCTCCAGGATTTTTTTTACTAGCAGTTGCTTTGTCACTATTTGGGGTTCTCCACCAACACAGACGGAAAAGCAGCGGGGGTTGCCAGTAAGGTGACCAGAAGTTGCCAAATGTGGGACAGAGTTTACATATTATGGGGGCAACATGAT